ACTTTTATACTAAAACACACGGATCGCATGATAAGATAACAATACTGTAAAAGTATATGACCGATGTTAAAGTGACATTTAATCCAAAAAGCTAAGTTCGTGAAATTTACACAGTCACAGAGAGCATGGCGTCGCAGGCTCATAAACTCTACTGTATAGATCTTTTCGTGATGCGGCTAAGATCATTTTTTATACCGGCAGGAAGAGATTTCCGATATCCATTTCTTTCGTGCGTCAACAAATCCACGAATAAGTTCCACCACATCTCCATACCATCCTGTATACGGCGCTGGCAAATGAATTAGCCACAACTTATGTAATTAGTTTTATAATTAGCTCATGTTTAGTCCTCTTAATTGATATCTAAAAATTCAATGTGACAGGGACTAAAGTTTAGTCTTGGGATCCAAACACCCCCTAACTCTCGACTCATGCTGGCTGCTCACTTGCACCACCATGTCTATGTGTCTGCACGTATATACTCTAATGCCAGAACGTCTAAGATGGTCTTTATTGTTCACTCTTTGAAAATATCGTAACTTTAAGGTTGTTATTTGTGTATGCTGTAGGATTGGGATGCTTTGCACTGATCCATGAGGGTGTCCATGAGAGTCGAAATTTTTGATGCCATTATGATGTTTAAGCTTACCAATCAGACAGAGACGAACTTGATTGTTAAAATATTTTCAACAATGCTTTCATATACTCCCTCTGTCCCAAAATAGAATTCATTCTCGCTTCCCGAAAAGTCAACTTTTTTTTAACTTCGATCAATTATATATAAAAGAATATTAATATTTATAATACATAATTAGTATTATTACATAGACCATTGAATATATTTTCATAATAAACTTATTTGGAGATATAAATGTTGCACGTATTTTTTACAAACCTAGTCAAAGTTGAGAAAGTTTGACCTGCACACATTCCATAACGACTTATATTTTGGGGCAGAGAAAGTATATGCTAATGGGAGTAGTCAATCGGAAGTCGTGATGAACACAACAATACTTTCATATTATATGCTAATTGGAGCACGAAGAAACGCAGGGGAATGGACCTATATACGAATGGTGAGAATATTTATTTAGGAAATTGTAGAAGGTTCACCAGTCTCACCATGTATAACCTGCATATCTTTTATTTGGCACCACTGATGTTCTCAAGGAGCAGCCACTTTTTAATTTCAGGTCTACATGCTGGAAACACTAAAATTAAGGGTCAACCTCATTGAGTCGTCTTGGTTGATCTTTGTCAATTGTTTCCTTCCATTTATGATTATTGTTTCCTTCCATGCATGTGGCCTCAGGTGATCGATTTGTTTCCTTCAAAGCAGACAGGGATCGCAGGGATGACAGTTTCTTTTTCTATCGCGCGGGGTATCGTGTGGCCGGAAGGGAGAAGTCTTGCTCGATCTTTGCCAATTGTTTCATTCCATGCATGATTATTGTTTCCTTTCATACATGTAGTCTCAAGTGATCGATTTGTTTCCTTCAAAGCAGGTGGAGATCACAGAGATGGTAGTTTTTTTTTCTATCACGTGGGGTATCACATGTCCGGAAGGAAGGAGCGACCTCAAAAAAAAAAAAGTCACACCAAGTCTTACTTTTAGTCTTTTTAGTTGCAGGAGATAGGAATAGAGCACCCTGCACCGGGCAGGGAAAGACTTGTCCATCATTCCTCAGAAAACATCTGCCATGGTTCACATGAGCTTCAGTCCCAAGAAAGACACGTCTGAGAGTCAGCTGAAAACTGGCAGATTACTGCTACAAGAGAGCTAACAAAAGTATGCCAGTTCCACAAAATCAAATTTAGATTAAAAAATCAATGGCATGCCAACCAGAATTGCGAACCAGCCGTTCACTGGTTATCGGAGTGTCAGCACTCGGCATAATGCAGCTACAAGCACATGCTATTACATTACTCCCACCAGCTGGACTACACAGAGGAACCTGCTTTCTATCAATTCCTTCTGCATTAGATTAAATAAAAGTCTGACAAAAGAAAAAGAAAGACAGCCTATTAATTACCTCCTCAAGCTCTAGGAACAGATTCAATGAGACAGTAGGGTGTCACTAGCCTACCATATGTACAGAATATACCGGTTCAGAATCCAGAACAGGAGCAACAACTACCATGTACCCAAGCTGCAGCTCACATGCTCTTGTGTGATCTTCTGCAGCTGGTTTTCCATCATTTTCAAGGATGTATAAGGAGGGAGGCAGAGCCGGTAGAAGCAGGTCTGCGATGATAGGAGCCGGTCAGGTGAATCTGACGTCTTGTATATGTAGAGTTTGGAGCTCAGCCCACAAAAGCCGTCTGATGGTAAATACTTCACTGAAGTCAAGAAGAAGAGGATCTGCCTGTCTCTCGATTGACATGCGCTCAACAGCCTGCAGTGTCAACACATAAGTATTCAAGCATGCACGAAACTGATTGGCAATACATAATGGAGCTTCTATTCTTCTAAGATATAGATTTCAGCAGGAATTCCAAACAGATATGCATGCAAGGTAACAAGGGACATCTTTTGTTTGATAACCGTGTTTCAAACAATACCAAAGCAGCACAATATGTTGTCACTTTACCACTACACGTCTACTACTACATATCAGGCAACAGCACCAGGTCCTGGCTCCTGTTGATGGAAGCTCCAACTAAGATGAATCCGCAATAACTTGAGAAAAGTTGTTTCATCTTTCTCATCTCACTTACAGAAGAATCAACAAGGATTGTATGAGGTAACAAAACTAAAGTTACAAAATGAATTAAGAACAGTGGTTGTTTATTTGCTCCAGACTTCCAGAACGCCAGAAAGATGGGACAATCATGTACTATTGATGCTAAAACATACACAGCCATGGCCTAATGGTAGAGTGCAAGATTCTAATGGTTAAGGTCTTGGGTTAAAGTACCCACTGTCCCACTCTAGCACTCTCCTTAATATTAAAGACACCTTATTGTCCCTCCCGTTTACTCATGCATTAAAACATTTTTTTTAAAAAAAACAGCCCACGTACCAATCAGTTTAAAGATTTTCTAAAGGATCTCATCACAATGATGTGGCCACTACAAATCCTGAGGGCACTGAAATCAAAATCCTTAAATAGTGGGTTTGGCCAACCAGCGCATCTCATCTGAGATCAACTAAACATGACATAACACTAAATATCAACCTCATAGAAATTCGATCAGATAAAACTGTCATTTAAAGAATCCACACACACAAACAAGAGACTGCTTCACTTCCTATACACACACAAAAAAAGGTTTTTGGCTCCATTCACGCTCTGCAAGTTCACTATAATTTTAAGGTTGTGACAATCAAGACAACAAAAAAAAAAAGGCATCATGGAACATACACCAAGACATAATGGCTGTAACATGTGTTGGAAGAGACAACTATATATACTACATAACAAACTAAATCATTAACTGCTATGAGGACATGCTAGAGTCGAAACAAAGGCTAACCTGGAAGAGCATAGTGAATAAAATACCATACTTTGAAGCACATAATTCTCTACAGCCAGCATGTATTAAAAAATTCATAAATATGTCTCATAAGTGAATGGTGCAATTAACGCATACATTTATATTAGGATTATGACCACAACTCTGGTACATGTACCGCATGCACAGACCTAATTGATCTGCAGAAATAATAGGCGTTTTTCGGCAAAATCTAAGACAGAGTTTAGTGGGAAATGGTATGTTGCCATGAGAAATTGAGCACACATGGAGGAAAAAATGGTCAAAATGTATAGCAGTACAGCAACATATAATTCATGATTGAATGCATTTACACAAATAATACAGCGTACCTTCCAGAACAAGGTAATCTGACGATCCTTTTCTTTGTAGCCATTATATTGAGTAATTGATTTCCAGTCTTGCAGATTTATTATTGCATTGTTGCTTCCCCCTAACAGTCGATGTAAGTCTTCTGATCTAATAAACACTCAAAAAACTCTTTCTGGTACAGTTTACGGTTCTCCCTCTATCCTAGTCACCTTCACCACAGTCCAGCTTACGCCTTGCCCTCCGCCCCTCGCTGGCGGTGAGGGCCCGCTCTGTCGCTCCGCGGGCAGCAGCTTCTGCGACTGCCGTACCCGCTAAACCGGCGGCGGCTTCGTCTCCCCTGGTTGCGGACCGCAATGTCATCCGTATCGGGCTCCCCAGCAAGGGTCGTTTGGGTGAGCAAACCCTAAGCCTCCTCAAGGTTCGGCGTTCCTTTCTGATGGGTGCTTCCATTGCTGGGTTCGAAAGTTTGAACTGTATGATTGGTATATGCTGATTTGGTTATGGTTGTGCTCTTTGTGCTTGATGATGCAGAGTTGCCAATTGTCGGTGAGGCAGCTCAACCCGCGGCAGTACACTGCAGATATCCCGCTGGTGAGGTTTACAGTCCTATGTTCTCTCATCTCTCTGATTTACTCCCTCCATTTCAAACTATAAGTCATTCCAAGAATCTTGGAGAGTCAAAGCATCTCAAGTTTGACCAAACTTATAGAGAAAACTACAAAGATTTGTGACATCAAATATGTATACTATGAAAATATAATTAATAAAGAATCTAATGATACTTAGTTGGCATCATAAATGTTATTATTTTATCATATAAATTTTGTCAAACTTGAGATGTTTTGACTCCAAGATTCTTGGAATGACTTATAATTTGGGATGGAGGGAGTAACTACCTTCTGTCAAATCTGGCATGGAGGCAACCAGTTGCTGTGAGTAGGTTTTGAATCAGTAAGCCTTTGGTTCCTGATTCACGGGTAGCGTAAGGATTTTAAGAGTGTAGTCTAACTTTCTACTCCCTAGGTTTGTTTGTAATATAAGGTAAGCTTAACACTTGGGTTTAGCTAGTGGGAAGTGACCATTATAATTCTGATTCTGATGGTTACATGCAAGGCCTTCTCAGGCCTTCTCGATGTTTGGTTAGAGCAATGCCTAGTAGATGTTTGATGGTGCCTATTGACCCTTCACTATCTCTATCTGAGGTTAATTATGTGATTCATAATATTGCATAGCAGAGCCATGTAAACTGCAGAACATTATTTTCCATAAGTTACAAGTAGTTAATAGATTTGACTATTTGAAGCCAACTGGGTCCTTAGCATTTTCGAGTAATCTTCTAGTAGATTCAAGAATTAAGAAGGCTTTCGTGGCTAATGAAGTCTCTATTAGATCACTCTCACATACCTGCTTGCATCATTAAAGCCCTGCTGGAAGCAAAACTAGCACACCCCCCTGATAAATTACTGATTGGGAGGAGGCGGCGGGAGGTAGGAGGCGGCGGGCCAGTGGCGGGTGACCGCGGCGGAGACGAGGAGCAGGCGGCCCTGGGAGACGTGGTCGCGGAGGAACGCGAGCGGCGTCGGGGCAGGTCGATGCGCGGCACGGCGGCGGAGGAGGCGGCGGCGTCCAGAGAAGAGGAAGGGAGGCCCAGCAAGTCCCGGGATTCCGCCCACAGCTCGCGCAGCGCGGGCTCCATTGGCTTGGTGTAGCGCCTGCCAGACACGGGCGCCGCCGCCGTCGCGGCTTCCACTCTCACTGCTTGTTGGTTTTGCGAATTCAGGAGGCGGCGGCGCAGCGACACGCGCGACGCGCTGCAAAGCGGTTCTGGCTTCTGGGGGCTGGCGCGTTGTTGGGTTAAGGCGTTAAGCTTAAGCAGCTTGGGCCGGTGGATGTTCCCGATTTTGGGATTTGTTGGGCTTGAAGTAGCCTATGACCTTGGCTTTGTTGTGTCCACACTAGATTACTGATTGGGCCTTTTGCTTATGTCCACAGTAGAAGAAGGCTTGAAAGGGGGAAAAAGAAAGCTTCTCCAGATCAATGAAATATTCTATTGGAACAGAACACATAATTTCTGTAAGTACAACCTCTAAACACGTGTTACAGAATATATCAGTTTCATATTGCTAGTCTCAGGACTCATCATTTGGCGAAGAACAGAGGCAAGTAAATATGAAGTCACTGAAACTATCTCCTACATGTCAACTTGAACATCAGTTTCCAAACTAGACTAAATTTCTCTCTTGCCAAGTACTATGTCAACGGTTCCATGCAAGCTAGACCCTATTACTGTACTGAACTACTGATGATGAGTACTAAACTCTTCTCTCTCTCTCTCTCTCTCTCTCTGGCGAGTATAAGAGTACTGAACCTTACCATTCCAACTACTACGGGTTGACAAGCAAAGCATTCCCTCACATTGCATGCTTTGACACCATCTTCCTCGTTGACCTGATACGAATAACCCCCAAACACGGCTAAACATATATATAGCTGTATCATTAGTCTGAGAACTCTTGTTTTGATCTCGACATTTCGACATGGCGAGAATAAAAATTCTTATCCTGAAAATGCGTTGTCGATAGATACTCGATACAACGTCGACGTCGCGCCCATGGCAGTTGAGGGATGGACTGACGGAGGCGTTATATATACTACACTACCCGCCCTCTTATCAGGCACTAAAACTACAGTATTTTTGTTTCGTCCATTTGTTTGCAAAAGGCCATGGGAATCTCTGATTGGTTATGGCCTCACGGCCATTGGCATGACCTGATGCTTGCAGTGAGCTCATATGCACGTCCAATCGCAGGCAAGTGGTTACTAGATTGCGCATTTACGCCTGCAAGGGCCGACGTGTCGGTGCAGCACTGATCCTTTGCTTATAAACATCAATATTGCCTCCGTTCAGAAAAGAACGTAAATATGGAATCCATGTCGATCAAAGTAGGTCAAGTTTAACCAAGTTTATTGCAACTAGTATTAATATTTATATCTCTAAATAAATTTGTTATAAAAATATATTTTATGACTAATCTAATGATACTAATTTTGCATTATAAATGTTTGTATTTTTTATATAATTTTGGTTAAAGTTCAGATTGATTGACTCCCTGAGAAACGAGAATTGCATTCTTTTGTGGACTGAGGGAGTACATATAAAGGACTAGGTACTAGGCTACTAGCTCCATTATTCTTCATGAAATGATGATCTCAACAGACTCGTTGTCGACAAACCTATTGAATTATTTTATGAATTTTGGTAACATATAATTAGAAGAAGAAAAAAATATGTGATCAAAGGTCTGGAACTGTCTATGAGTAGACGGGTACTAAAGTGCTCCCTCTGTTCCAAGGAGGCTTTGCTCGCTTTTGTCTTTTAAGTCACACTTCTTTAATTTATAAAAAAAAATGCACAATTATTAACAACAGAAAAATTATTTTTATTAAATCCACAAGGAAATATGTCCCACTTATTTGGTGTTGTAGATCTTAATACATTTTTGTATATACCTGGTTAAAGGTAGACAAGTTTTCCTTAATACTTCCTTGGTCCTGAAATACATGAAACTTAACAAAAGACCATATTGCCCCTCATAAATTAAGATGGAAAGTAATTCGGTTGTTATATTATCCACAATTAATGGCTGATTGTTTTGGGTGACGTCAAATTCAAATGAATCTCAATATTCTTGCCAAAAAAAAGACAGATAGGAGAGGGGGTTGAGGATCTTGAATACCTTATAATTTGCCAATTTGGTGCAAATTTTGAACTTTGAATCCCTTATATTTCAGGATGGAGGGAGTATATCACTGAATAACCTCATAGATTTTGGAACTGAGAAAATAGTAATGCCATGCAATTAATTCACATTTCAAATAACATGCTGGCTCAACCATTGAACTTGTGTTTTGTTGGAAGTGAGCATAAATGAACTGATTTGTTGGGACAACCACTGAACTGTTTTTTTAAAGTGAGCCTAAATGAAATGGTTGGGAGATGTGGTCATGATCCAACCATTGAACCACCCAAAGTTTGAGTCTTCTTGAACTCGAATTTGGATGCCTATCGCCTCGTTCTTGTTACGTTGATCTCATTTTTTAGTAAAATTTTCTTACATTTACTTACACTAATGTTTACCTCTGCTGAGAATAGATGTTTTGATACTTGTTTATTTGAAAGGGATTATAGTACATTAGGAGAATATTACAAGGAACAACATGTGTACCTGATTACAGATCCACGGACACCAGAATCTAATGTCACATGCATGGCACTGGACAAGTTGTAAACTTGTTACCATTTACCAGGTTAGGGAGAAGAATTAATACAAGCATTTAACACAAGAGGCATCATTTAACTTAAGATCTGTTTCCCATGACGAAGCTCTCCCCAGCATGCCATTACATGTTGGAAATGCTAGTGTCCTTAATTAATATACACATTGCTTATATCTCAGTTTTTCTAGCCAGAGCATCTTGATTCTCCTCACGTCGAGCTTATGATTTTTGGCACCTATTACTACCCCTTTAATTAGCATAGATCTCAGTTCTCTTAAGCACTAACTGCAACTCAAAAACAATTGGTCAGATGTTATATTAGATCAACCATGTGTGCTCGTTCCTTTAAAATTTCGTGTTGTTTTATTTGCACATATAGATTGAGGTGGATGTATGGACATCCAAACTAAGGCTTTAAATGCAGTAGGGGAAGAAGACATTTTTGCAAAACAAAAATAAGGATGCATGTATAGCCCTCAAATAGAAGTCAAATTTCACGGATTCAAATAACGCCTTTCAATCCTCTGTCCATATATTACTGTACATCTTCTGTCTGATCACGAGAATTTGGAGACACTCGCGCGCATTTAATTGCAAGTGGTCGCAGGATGACATGGAAACACGTATTTGGCGGCACCCGACGTCATCACGAAGTGGTAATGCTGTTCCCGTAGGACTGTGAGTGGGGTCGCGTCCACCGCCCCTAGCTCTGGTGCCACGTCACCGTCGAGTTCCGGGTCATGGCCACCAATTATGCCAGTTTGTCTCCGTGGCCAGGAACTCCATGGCAGCATGTGTGGCGCTTCAAAACCAAATGAACTTTGCACAGAGCCACAGCCCACCGATTGTCAATGCATCGCCCATGGTGCACAAGGCGCGCTCGATTTTCCACTAGATTTTGTACTTGGCCTTTAATTCATATTCAGCAACCAAAACGACATTGCTAAAACCTTTTTGCAAATACTGCAATTTCAGACGGGAACTCATAAGCACACAGACACTGCAACAGAATTGGAGACCGCTGGAGATCCGAGAGGATATGCCCGCGGGCCCACGCTGACAGCCGGCCATGCCGATTTCCCCTGTGATTTGTCGCCGATCAAGCCGTCCTACAAGGCATGTTGGATGTTGGGCGTGGGCTCTCTCTCCGAAAGGCGAAGAAATCTTGCCGTCATCTTTCCTATCATCTCCACATCTCAATGGCCGTGCTTGGAGCAGGGAAAACGACACGTACGAAAAAGCTATCGTGGCCCCTTGTAACTTGCCAAAATCCCATGAAAAGAAAGCTGGCCACCTCTATCATTCTCCGCTGCCGTCGCCACCGTTGCTGTCCCTGAACCTAGCTGATGATCGAGACTCCGTTTGAACTTTGAAACGTAGGAATTTTCTTGAACCGTATGAAATCGGACCATTTTGCATAAAACTTGTGAAGATCCAAATATTCCTAACGTATAGAACTTCAAAGAAAATTGGAGAAAAAGAAAGAAACTGAACTTTGGTTTGCCACGGATGACATCAAAAGCATTTTGGCCTAATATATGCTTGTAGTGGACCGGCCTTGAGCTAGCTGCCATGTGATCGCTGATCCTTTCGGCAGCGATGAGCTAGCTATGCTACTTCACTGAAGCGATAATGAGGTGTCTCGCTGCCCCCATTGCGGTGTACCACAAAACGAGTCGGACCTCGCTGTCCTGCTGATGACATCCTTACTTGCTTTTCCATTATTTTGCAACACAAAGCCCGTGTTTAGTTGCCAAAATATCCCAAAATGTACTGTAGCTATGAAGTAGCATAAAAACTGAGCACTACAACTTTTCATGGGGGTGTTTAGTTCTCAAAATCTGAAAAACTACTGTATAACATTTAATAAACTGCATGCAGCTTATTAATGGCATGCATGCATGACATTGAATGTAAGTAAAGCATGGTTTTACATCCAACCAGGCATTGTCAACAAGGCGAGAGTCATTCTTTGGGTCATGGAGCCTCCTCAACAAAGACAAACAATCAACAGTAAACCAACAATTATTGGTAAACAAATAAAATGGCATGCAGACTAATGCTTAGCACACATAGTTACACACAAAAAAATTACACTGCTTTGTCGGACAAAAATTACAATTACAACCAAATAAATTATCAGCTTACGATGCGCTTTGAAAAAGACGACCAAATCATGTTCGATTAGCCAAACCGATTATGATGGATTCCCGAAATGCATTCATAAGCTCGAATCGAACTACCACTTGGAGGAATAGTTTGGGTCGATGAAGGCACAAAGCCTCGCGCAAGCACATAGTTGTTATCCCGGTCACACCGAGCAAAGTGCCGATCCCCTATGCCACTCACCCTTATGAAGTTATGCAGGGCACAACATGCAACAATGATTTGACTTTGTATATGGGGGCCATAACTAGG